CTTCCAATTTTAGAGCTTGGCGGGCTACCTGTGTTGAAAAAATTCGAAAATTAGATGATGATGTCATAAACGCCGCTAACGTGACGGCGCGCGATAATTTCTTTCGATTTTCACTTCAAATCTTACCGGACAACAATCAAAACGAGATTAGAAAAGCAAAATGGGTTAACTTCAAGCTCTTGTGATGGATACTGCGGYTAAAATATACGAGGAGGGGGAAAAGGTGAACAAAGATGTGGTACAAGTTAATCCTGCTTGGGTTCTTGAGGAAAGTTTGAAAAGTTTGAGTTCTAAGTTTCCTATTCTTCCTCGTTCGCAAGGGTCGCTAACCTTCTGCACAACACCTTTGTCGAGCAAGGTAAGTAAAGATAAATACTTCAAATATGTGTACAAAGTTAAGGATCTATTTTGTCAAGCGAAAATTTAACTGAATAGATTTGCTGAGAATATATCCAAGTGTATGAAAATGATGTGGGCTGAAGTTTTTTCAAACTATACAAGAAATCGTACTGCGCTCTGCATAACATTCCCGTGTCTCTAAAATAATTTACAATAAAAAAGAGATCGATAGAAACGGTCACGACTGTTACAATGTTCTAGTGGAAAATGAGCGGGAAATTTAGAGCACTTATAAAGTATATTGGCAAATAAGCAGCTGAGCAGAAAATGTTTTGGTCRAGTGGTTTTCATAAACCCATGAAACGAAGTGTACTAATTCAGTGTAATTATAGTTGTAGATGATGGCTAGTAAATACTAGCGTGGACTGCGTCGGTGTTTCTAATAAAACAGTTATCGTAGAATGATAAGTTATACATCGTAGTGAAAATAGTAACTGACGTTTCGGACGTTAGTCCTTCGTCGGAGTCACTCAATTGACTGACTCCGACGAAGGACTAACGTCCGAAACGTCAGTTACTATTTTCACTACGGTGTATAACTTATCATTCTACGATAATTATAGTTGGATAAACACAATAGAAAACAAAAGAATTAGAGTGTAATAGTAGTAATAAGCTAAAGTGTATAAGTTTCACGGGTTTATGAAAAATGCGCAGTGTTTGTAGTTTAACTTAGCTTCGTTAGGCGTTTGAGATGCGCAAACGACAACCTTAATAAAAAAAGAAAATGACATTCCTCTTTTTTTTCTATTATTCTTTATGAAAAAAAATGATAATTTATTTTATAACTTTATTGTTTTAGTTGGAGTCCAAGCCCGAAGATGCTCTATTTGACTTGGCTGATACCAACGTGCTACGATACAATGTACTACACGACTCTCATCTCAAAGACTACTTCCAAAACCCAGAAACAAGACGAAGACTAGTTGAGCAGGGTTAGTGAAGTAAAATAGTCTTTTTAAAAATATAAATATGATATTTAGCTGGTGCATTTCTACTACACAGAGTTTATATTCGTCACCTGAAATTGTGAAGTCGAATTTAGAAGTTTATTTTTGCGGAGGGAGGAAAATTAGAGAGCCCGGAAAATCCTTGAAGCACAGGAGAGAACCAAAAAGCATGCAACTCTATTCACATACGACGTACATCGGACAGGGATGGGCGTATAGGAATAAGAATGCACCTGAATTATTATGGTTGGACGAACGTATAGATAAGAATTGAATATGCCTGAGGATTGGATGAACCAATAGGAATAAGAATGTACCTTAAATGGCTTAAATGGATAAACCAATAGAGGCTTTGCACCATCACGTGACGACAGCCATGACAGAAGGCAGGAACAATTGAATCTGGTCTAATTTGATTTAGTACATGAGAAAGGATTCGGTTTCCCAGTGGAGAACGACTCTATTGTTGTGCCTTCTGTCATGGCTGCCATCACGTGATTGTGCAAAGCCCCTATAGGAATAAAAATGTGCTTGAAATGGATTGGATGATCATACAGCAGGGGCAAATCTAGGATTTTTTGCTTCATAAAGCTGAAAAGAAACTTCAAAATAGGAAATAAATTCACAACTTCTCACTGTAGACCCTTATCCTTTTGCTTCTTATAAAAGCAACCTTTTCCATTTATATCTCAAAATAACTGCGTCTAAGCAATTCCTCAAGTCATGTTAGGCTTTTTACATTGAKTTCAAATTGAAATACGAAAGGAAAAAAAATTTTCGATCCGACACTCCACCTAAAAAAAGTCCAGTCCAAGGAGTTAATCCAGATCTATATTTTCCACAATTTTGGATTTTAGCACTAAAACTACCAAATTCTAAAAGAGCAAGTGAAATAGGTATCGATGGTGTAGTTTTTCTCGTGTTTTGTCCAAAAAAGAAGCGGTTTTGCGAGCATCAAAAGTATCGATCCACAAGCCAATTCGCCATTACTCACTCTCCACCTCCCCTAAGGGATTCGTTACTACAATTTAACTTTTGGCGGCAAAGAGCAGGCGCTAACTATGCAAATTGACAGAACATATTAATAATGTATCTGAAATGGTGGGATAGATGTATAGGAATAAGAATGTTCCTGGTATGGATTGAACTAAGATCACATTAGCTGAAGGAAGTTCCGTGTTCACGGATCGAAAAGTCTGTAAAGGTTCAAAACAACTAAGTCAGCGACAAACATGAAAGTATTAATAGATGAACGTATAGGAATAAGAATGCGCCTTAAATGGATGGGATGAGATAAGAATGGTTATCATGTGAGTGGGAAACATACTGTATAAAATACGACGTGCTGTTATAACACTGAAATGGCTTCCCATAAGAATGGTTTATCGTATAAGTGAGCAACGACATGCCGTTACGCTGAAAGGGCTTCCCATTGTCTTGCCGTAAATAATCTAATTCACCATTTTCCATACAGGCGCCAAGGTACTTTCAAAGGATTATTCAAATTTGAACCTTACAACCTCGACTGAATGCTTTGTGTTTGACCAGTGAACCGATGTATAGATAATGGTGAATCACAAAGCGTAATTACGGCTATTGTAAGATACGGAATCTTTTCCCATTTATGCGAATGATTAAGGCCCCGTCCATACGTATCCGCAAATTTTTGTATCCGCAATTTGTTTTTAACGGATACGGGTTGCGTCCACACGTGTCCGGAAATTTTTGTGTCCGTATCCGCAAATTTTACGAAAACGAATACGTGTGGACGGTGAAAACGATTCGAATACGCTGCGTGTGGACGCAAACATTTTCGTATCCGCAAAAAATAATTTGCGGATACAAAAATTTCCGGATACGTGTGGACGGGGCCTAAACCGCCCTAAGTGTAATAGTAATATTTTATTATTCCCAGGAAGTCTTATGACTATTTAATGGGTGTTCAATGCTGTTATAAATTTTTAGGTTTCATCACAGAGGATGGCTACGTGATTTGCAATCTTGTTGAGTTCAATAACTACAGAAAATGGATTCGTAGATTGAAACTAGAGGAGCTCTACAAACAACGAAGGCATATACGCGAAGAGGAAATCAATCAAAGGAACACTCAGTTAATGGCGAAGAAATTAGAAAGAGAAAAGGAATGCTCGCATATCTTGAGAGAGAGGGAACAAAAAGCGAAAGAATACAGGAAGAAGAAAAAAGAAAAAAGAGACCTTGAGAGGTATAGCCTTTGTACRAATATAGCCATATAAGATCAAAATAATACGCCTATTTACTTTGGGCATATATGTTTTTCCATTTCAGACCACATTTCCTTGTCTTGAGAATAGTATCATTAATGTTATACTTTGTTTGAGTTATATCATTAAAGCATAGTCCCTTTAACAGTTCCCTGCATCATCTTGAAAGGTAGCCGTGCCTTTTATCGAAGCGAGACGAACGGTGACCTTGCAATGATAGAGACCTATTTCTCACACCTTGCACAATTATTCACATGTCTCTATTATTGCTAGCTCGCCATCTTAAAAGGTAGCCGTGCCTTTGCATCGAAGCGAGACGAACCGTGACCTTGCAATGATAGACACCTTTTCTAACACCTTGCACAATTATTCACATTTCTCTATCATTGCAAGCTCACCGTTCGACTCGCTTCGATGCAAAGGCACGGCTACCTTTCAAGATGGTGCAGGGAACTGTGACGGGTACTACTGGCCATTACGAGGGGCTTGGGGGATTGTTTTTGGGGACGAACTAGACGCCATTTTCGAAATATGTCCCCCAAACAAGCCCCACAATAAGCATGTCCACGCGTGTCGAATTTTTGTATTCGTAAATTTTGTTTACGGATACGGGTTGCGTCCACACGTGTCCTCAGATTTTTGTGACCGTATCCGCAAATCCTACGAAAACGGACACGTGTGGACGGTGAAAACGATTCGAATACGCTGCGTGTGGACGCAAACATTTTCGTATCGGAAAAAAAAAATTTGCAGATACAAAAATTTCAGAAATTTACAGAAAAGTAAAGGAGTTATTATTATAAGCGCAGCTTGGTTTCATAGAAATTATTCTGTTGCGAAAGTCGCGTTACGTTAGAATTGGTTTTGGRGAAAAACATCACGAATGGGTGCCAATCTTCCGCTAAGTGTTTGGATTGATATTTAGGAAAAAAATGTAATCTTATGTTGTTATATATGTTATTCATAAATTTAGGAAGAMATACTCGAGGCTTCAAGAAATTGAAATGCGTAGACGAGAAAAGAAGAGGAAAGAAAGAAGGGATCAACTAGATGATGTGGAAGAAGAGCGAAAAAGGAGACAAGTGGAAAGACAAGTAGAAAAGATCATCCGAGAAGACAAGGTACGATCATTAATTGCCCTATTTCACTATGACGTCACTGCTTGTTTATATGGGGGATAGAATCGCCAAATCCAATAGAAAATTCAACAAAATTTGCTTCTAGCGAAATAGTTTAATCTAAAATGGCCTGGTTTTCAGATATAATATGTGTTAATATGTACTAAAAATATTCTGAGCGTTTGCTGGCTATTCTACTCCTCTTCGTGGATTGATACGGGTTTTAGAACAATTTTCGGTGAATTTGCGTTCATTTGACCCCCTCCGACGACCATGTTCCTTTGCGTTTAAACAATAGATTGTTTTGCTGTGACGTCATAGTGAAATAGGGCAATTTCGTCATCATATTTAAACCCAAGGAATATGAAACGTGCTTGCATGTGTTTGTACAGTGATATAAACATGATCTAGGAGCTGTAGAGTACGAGAGAAGCAAGCTTAGAAACACGAGGAATAGTCGAGGATTTCGCTTGCATTTCGCGACTGTCTACAGATTCAAGAGTGTTTATATCAAAAGACAGAGACATGTCGCTTCATATAGCATCTTTAACATCCACCGCGTGCTTTTATAGCATAGCCACGATATAACGCGTGCTCTGATTGGTTAATTAACGTGCGCAAGCGTGCATCCAAAAATGAATGGTGCACGCCATGACGTACTTAAGTAGCGCGGGTTGAATAAATACGTATAAGGATTTCGTTAGAAAATAAAATGATCTATTTTTTTCTATTAACAAAACTTTTGTTACGATTTTGCTATGTTAGAAAAGCACTGGGCATTAACGTGCTTCCATCGAGTTTGCTCCGTCACAAACCAATCAGAAAGCGTTAATGACCAATATGGGAGTCCCCTATAAAGCATTTTACAATCACAAAAGCATTACATTACTTTTCCAGATATCTTATAATGAAATTCTTYGTTCAACAGAAACGAAAAATCAGACTTCGCATAGTACGCAAGCGAAAACAAGAAGACACCAGGAGAGATGCGGCATTGAAAGAGCGAAGACACCTTGGAAGGTGCCAGAGAGATAAAGAGGTAACGCCAATATCTTCATCGCAGCAAGTTAATATACACCTAATTGAAAAAACGTTGTGGGGTTCAAAAAAAGGTTACATCATTAAAGCTAAGACCGAAGGGGAGCATGGGAAGACAAACAATTATGTTAATTTCATGTGTATTGCAGTTTTCCCTTCCTGTGCACATTTTATGCATCATGGCTTTGGCACGTTGTTAATCTAGGTCGACCAACTTTGCTCTAAACTGTGCATTTTTACATGTCTATATGCAAATATAATACACATTTTGGAGTACCCAAAATCCTTTTCGGTCTTAGCTTCGATGATATGACCTTCTCGAACCCGACTACGTTTTTTCCCAATTAGGTGTATATCAGCCTTAGTTCTTATGCGATGGTTTATGGCAGTGGGATACCTTGGAATATCGCACAAGGCATTTGTCTTCATGTTACTCCGCTGGCAGAGTCTCTTAGACGAAAACGACTCCCTAGCAAAGACATGTTCGTTTTAGAAAGTTTGTCTCACTACCTACAGGATATGGAGAGTCGCTAAATCTCCAAATAGCAAATATGCCGCTGAACCAAAAACCGGTTTAAAACCGGTTATAAAAGGATTAGCTAGAATTGGGCTTGGGTAGGCTCGGGTTACAGGGGCGTTTCTTTCTTTTTCTCGCTGGGTGGAAGTTAAAAGGAGAGTCTGCTGTCAGCAGAGTACCTTCGGGTGAGTAAGTATACGTGAGAAAATAAGCGCTTTAGTTTGGAGGTTTCATGGTGTACCACAAAAAAGCATTGTATTTAACAATAATTCTTCGAAGGCGAAGTGATTATCGGATATTTACCGAGACGCGAGTCTTCCAGCGGCGAGCTAAATATTCCCCAATAATCACTGAGCCAGAGGCAAATAATTGCAAATAATTGGTGATTTTTTCAAAAAAAGAAAAAAAGAAAAAAGACATTTTTCCCGGTAACAGCAACAAAGCGGCTGGCCGGCATTTTGAATTTTCGCTCGAGGTGATTATCGTGTGATAGTGTGAGTTTCTTGACCAATCAGCGCGAGAGATTTTCTATAATCACCTGTGTATTTTTACTAATTGTATATTTTAAATAGTGTTTCACTTAAAACGTAACTGAGTTCATGCATATAATACGATCGTTGCTTGACAGCTTAAGAAACAATGGAAGCGCCGCTGTACCATAGCTCTGGGTCACATCACTGAAAAATGGAAAAACGAAAATCAACTGCTGGAGTTGCGTGAACGTAATATTGAGAGAAGGGCGAAAATGTACCAGAAAAGACAAACGAACAGTCAAGGTAAAAAAAAAAGACTCTTCAAATTCTTGTTGTTGCAAGTCACCCGAAGCACGACCTTAAAACAATAGTCAAGGACAATGATGTGCAATACAAGTTGCTGTATGTTAGACGAGTTGTAGCTCCCCTTTGCAGCCGTTCTTAGGGTCATCACGCAACGTTTCCCTCCCTGTGGGGGAGAGAAACGCTGCGTGACGACCCTAAAAACGGCTGCAAAGGAGGCTAGAGGAGTTGCTGCAGTTTTGACAAATAGACCTCTTCGGCTCTGACGTAATGTTTTCCCATTTCAGACCACGTGTCATTCCCTAGAGTATCATTTCTTTGTTTAAGGTTTGCGCTCGGTTGCATATGAGAAGACACATGAATATGGATACAGCTCAAACAAATCTTATTCTCAAGGGAATGACACGTGGTCTAAAATGGGAAAATATTACCCCAAGCCGAAGAGGAACGTGGCAACGTGATAGATTTATCATAGACGTCACACTTAGAAGTCTATTGACGGAAGAGTATTAGAAATGGCGTCTGTCCGCGCGCGTAGCAATGAAATCAATTGTAACTTTCCGCATTTGTTTTCGTAGAGTCTGTGATAAACTTCGTGAAAACCCGTCGTGCAACACTGCATCAAGAGTTCTTAGAAGCAGAGGAATTTCTTAATAAACTGCGAATGACAAAAGACATAGAAATCGCAAACTGGAAAAGAAAGCACGAAAGAATGTTATCAAGAGGATCAAGCATTACGAGCGTTCAACATAAAGAGAGCAGAATCGAAGGTTTGGATGAATACATGGCTCTGAGGCGGTGGTCGGCACCTAACAGGACAGGATTTCGTAGACGACTGAAGAGTACATGGGATTTAAAAAGCTCTCTGATCAAGGATCTAGAGGAAGAATCGCCATCTCTTGAGAGGTAAATTTTATGACTTAAGGGTGACGTATCGGTAAAGTCGCTCGCCTCTCACCTCTGGGGTCTCAGGTTTGATTCCTGAAGGCTGTATCACATTTGAATGGAGTTTGTTAGGTCTATAGATTGATTTGAAGAATTGTTTCTGAGATCTCCTGTTTGCCTCCCATCGCAAAACCTAACGCTTCAAATTTTAATTCGATTTGTGAGTTACCAGTGCCAGGATTTTGATCAGCCCAGAGGTTATTTCAGCGTATCTATTAATCGTTTCGTTACTTTTACTTATTGAGAATTGTTCGTCCTTTTTTCGTTTCAGAGAGAAAGACGATCCGACCAGAGAAAAGGTAAATAGAAGCATTACAGCAAAGCTCCAGCCATTTGAAAATGTAACATGTTAAATGTAACATACTTAGCGCATGTTTCAAGTACTGAATATCAAAGATAACAGAATAAGCATTGCCAAACTCTTAGAGCAAAAATATATTCAAAAAATAGACTCCACGGTAATTCTTTCTGGATGGTGTCTGTTGGTTGTCTCATTAGCTTGAGCAAATAAATAAGGAAAAAGTTCCTTAAATTCATTTGCGTTTCGGACCTTGATGCACTTTTCTTCATATATAGAAGTCCTCATTACTCCGAGTCCGGCGGACTAAGAGTTCCATGTCTTAAACTTAGTAAACCTAAGAATTTTATCCATAGTCCCTACTATAAATTTTTGGCCGCTCAATTGTAATCTCCACCGCAGAAGTAACGTATAATTGTATTATTTAGTCTAAGCTATTAATAACATGCTTTTGCATTGTCAGGAACGGATGGAAGAATTAAGCAAGACGGACGTCCGAGTCAAAGTTCGCTCTTTAATAAATAACATCATCAACAGTGCACATAACGTTTTTGAAGAAGAAAAGAAACGAACTGCGGTCAAGAGTCTAGTTGGAGGAATCATTGATTCTGCTGTTGCAGTCGTAGACAAGGAGGAAACTAACAAGCGTAATAGGACCTATGTCCGACGTTATGTGTTCTCGGTCATAGAAGCTGCAAGCCAAACACTTGAGAAAGAACGAAGAGAGGCAGTGAAGGCGAAGATGATGGAAGAAGAGGCCGTTCTGAGAGTTAAAGAACAGATGAATCGAATTGCAGCAGAACTTGTTTCTGCTGCGATGGTATTCGCCAAAAGGAGAGTAGATAAGGACGTAGAGGAAAAAGCTACTGAAGACGACGAAGAACTAAAAGATACTGCCAAATGGATTGTCGGGACAGCCATAGAACGAGCACTCATTAGATTCAAAGGTCAAGTTCAAGATATAAGTCGCGTATCTTCCGAAAGCCTACCCGAAAGCATAGCAGTCGATATGGAAGAGGTGGACGTTGATGACTCAAGACTAGATTGGGCAGTCAGGAATATTGTGTCAGATGCTGTCGCAACAGCAGTGGATTCCATGGAGTGTCTTTACTACAAGGAATGTGACTTAATGGAAGCTGCCATGGGGTTAATGAATTCTGCAATGATAAATGCGCAAGAATCCCTGGAGAATATGCATCGCGTCACTCCCGCACTTGAAGAGCAGATAAACAGAACTGCCTGGAGGCTTGCAAATCGGGCTTTGATTTCAGCTGAAAACGCACTCGAGAAACAACGAGAGGAAAGCATCGAACAAGCGACCCAAGAACTGACGTCCCATGCAATACTATCAGCCCAGAATTCATTTGCTCGGATGGAGGAGCAAATGCTTTGTGAAACCGCGGAAGAACTGGCATTGCAAGCAATAATGAAAGCACAAAAGTCATTAAGAAAGTCTGAAGAAGAGGAAYTGTTCTCGCAGGAATTAGCCACGAGGGCCATTATGGAAGCAAAAGAGTCTCTGGTTAGAGCAGATRAAATTGAGCGCACTTCGCGTGAGCTGGCCAGACAAGCAATAGAATTAGCGCAAGTGTCTTCACAAAACATTTCAAAAGATCGTGCCGATGAGGCAAAGAAAATTGCTGTTGCGGCTGCAGAGAGATGCATTGAGGCCTATAAATCTCAGGAAAATTTAACTCCTGAAGATGACTTAGTTGCAGCTGAAGCTTTAAAGCTTGCTATTCAAGCTATCAACTCTGCTGAAGGTTCGTTAGAAGAAGTACATCCTCGCACGACGTGCGTTCTAACAGATGGAAAATTGCTCTCAGGTGTTATGCAATATGTGGAAGGAATAATCGTTAGGGCCTTGCAAGAGCTGGAGTCCAACAAGGACATTAATGTTCTTAAACCTGGGAATATCCAACCTGACGAGTACAATGCCCTTTCTCAGAGCGATACAAGCTTGCACAGAAAGTCCTTTGTGAAAGATGGCACTTCATTTGCTGTACCAAAAGAGAGTGAAACAGCTAAGGCTGCTACAAGTAGTCGCAGAAGATCATCCGTTCATTTTAATGCTACGAACATCTTTTCTAATCGAAAAGACAGCCTCTCAAGGGATTCCGACCACCTTAAAGCTAGAAACCGACCACCAACTCCACGTTTTCTCGCCCAAAGATCCTTCACCAACCAGTTGGCATGTGCAAGTTGGGATAAGCTTGAGGAAAAGCTAAAACATATCGAGAAAAAAGACAGAGTGAAAGTTTTGTTGTCGACAAGGGAAGGCTCACCAACGTTTTCTGAAAGGAAACGTTTACATCTTCGCAGATTTAGTTCGGACCAAAGTATTGCAATGAAAAGAAGGCCAGTCGTCGTCTCATTTCAAATCCCTCATTCATCATCGGATAATTCTTTCCGACGTGCTTCAGACGTTCAAGATTCACAATTGGTAAAAGAAATGATTGATTCATCAAATGAAGGGGAAGATGACCTTCTAGACACGAAAGAACATCGAGAATGTGAATTCGATACCCTGGTTTCTATGACAAATACGCCGGAACCACAAGCTTTCAAGGGCTCCGAAGATGATATTCTGCAAACTATCACATCAGACGAAGAGAGGATTCCTTGTCAAATTACACCAAGAGCCTCGTCATATATATTGCTTCCAAAGCTGGAACTCAAAGACCAAGTCTTGCTACAGGCAAAGGTTATTGAGTTGGAACAAATACAGCGTTGTGTTGAATCATCTTCGACTCATCTTCCTGCAGTTTCACCAACAACATCTTTGGTGATGGTTGAAGACGCAGATAGCCTTTCACACACGGAAAATGAAACTAAGACTCTCCCAACCCAGAAGCATACGAACCTACCAAAAATATCCAAATCGAGATCTTTGGTATCAATAGAAAGAGAGGCAGTTACTAAAGATTTCGATCACGAACGTGTGACAAAGGTATCCAAAGACAAAAGTGAGGCACAAGCAACGTCTGTCAAACCTTCACAAACTGAAGGACCATTGGTGTTAAAACCTTCAAATGAAGTAGCATCAGTACCTCTAAATGATGTAGTAATGGAAGTGTCCCCCAAAACTTCTTTTGAGACCTCCAAGATGTCGCCTAGATTATCTAGTCAGTCCATGAAAAGGGCACCAACTGAAGCCATAAAAGTGTCTCCCAAACAATCACGTGAAGCCCCCGAAGTCTTGCCTAAAAATTCGAGTGACTCAACAAAAATGATAAACATTCCTTCTACTCAGACATATCCAGCTCCTTCAAGTGAATCATTGTCACCAAGGCCTTCAAAGAAGAGAATAGCACCAATTACTTCAACCGAGAGTGCAAGAGTTTCTCCAAAGCTTTCTATCAAGACCACCACAGATTTACCCAAGGCTTCGAGTGAATATATTCAAACAGAGAAAACATCTTCTGCTGAGGCTGGCATAATTTCTCCAAAGCCCTCGAGTGATGGATTAAGAGAGTTAATTGAATCCAACCACTCAATGAAAGAAACTCAAGATTCTGTAACTGAGGCGGCGATACTTTCTCCAAAACCATCTGGTGAGTCTTCCAAATTGTCACCTAAATCTTTAAGCGATTCTCAGAAAGTGACACAAGTTCCATCGACTGAAGCGAAGACCTTGTCTCCCAAATCTTCAATTGCGAAAACGGATATGGCAGAGAAGGATGAATCTGCGGAAACAGAGATAACAGCACCTAAAATTTCAACTGTAGAATGCAAGGTACCAAAGGAACCTACGATTGAGGCAAACGAATTATCACGCGAACCTTCAAAGAAAAGCGTTATACTTACTCCTTCAACTGAAGCGGCGGAGGTGTCTTCAAAGTTGTCGCGCGAGGCAGCCAAAATTTCACCAAAGGCTTCAAGTAAGTCTGCAAAGATTACACCAGTATCTTCAACTGACGCTGCAGAATTGCCTTCCAAAACATCTCGTAAGGATGTAAGAGTCTCGCCTAAAGTTTCAACTGAGTCTACGAAAATGGCAGTTTCTTCAACCGAGGGAACACGAATTTCTCCAAAGGTTTCAACTGAGACCGCCAAATTTCTGCTTGAGGCAAGTGAGTCTGCAAAAATAAGACCAAGTCTTTCAGGTGAAGAAGCTGAAGTTTCTCCAAAAACATCAATCGATGGGGCCGAGCTTTTGCCTAAAGCTTTGAGTGAAACCAAGAAAATGGCACCAGTTACATCAGCGGAAGCAGCGAAAATCTATTCGAAAACTCCAACTGAGGACACCTTGTTGAAGAAGGATTTCAGTGAATCTAAGATGGTAGCATCCACGACCTCAACTGAGGTCCATAAATTATCTTTTTCAACCGAAGCAGCGAAATTATTACCAGAGGTTTCTAAGCAGAGCTTAACATCAACCTCTTTAACTGAGACAGTGGAAGTGTCACCAAAGGCTTCAAGTACGTCTGCAAAAATAACACCAACACCTTCAACGGTCATTGCAGAATTGCCATCCAAATCGTCGGGCAAGGATGTAAAAGTCTTGACTAAAGATTCTCGCGAGTTCTCAAAAGTAGCAGCAATTCCTTCGTCTGAAGAAACACGAGTTTCTCCGAAGCCTTCAAGCGAGGCAGCCACAGTATTACCAAAGGCTTCAAGTAAGTCTGCAAAAATAACACCAACACCTTCAACGGTCATTG